CTCTGCCTAACCCAGCCGTGAAGCCCTCCAAGGATGGAGATCCCCTCCCCTCTGGTGACCTGGGCTGCATTGCCCTTCCTCATGAAGATTTTTTTTCCCCCCATGTCCCCTCTGAACCTCCCCAGCACCAAAAAGAGGGAGATATAACTCCCCTCTCGTGCTTGTAAGAGAAAAGATTCTGTAACCCAAATAAAACTGAATCACAACAAAATAAGGTAGCTGTTTGCTGGAGGAGGGGAGAAAACGCTATTCATTTATCAAAAGAGAGTGCTAAAAGCTTAACTACCTGTCTTTAAAAAGAAGCCAAAGCACTGATCCATAACCAAACAACAAATACACCACTTCATCTTGATTTGTGTAGAGGCAAAGTTATGGGCACAAAAGGTATTCTTCTTCAAATAAAATCCATTTTAAAACTTGGCAACCGCTAGTATAAATACTTTACACTGTTAATGTAAGCATTTCCACGCAGAAGTTTCATCAGCTTAACAATGTATTTAAAAAAGCTGGCGTAACTTCTGTGCAAAACCACCATCAGTCTTTGTCTCGTGTATCTTACAGCGCTCAAGTCACTAAATTACCACTTAGCGCTATTAGCATCAGACCCCACCTCCCCGTTAGGCTCGCTAACTTCTCTCAAGAACAATGCAGAACCAAAACTACTATTCTATAACTTATTTTCTTTCAGTTTCAAAGTAGCCACAGATGCCAAATAGGGTTGTATCGATTACAAGCGTTGTTATGGGCCCAGCAAAATTTTAATTCAAGCTAAGCATCCAAAACTTTTCTTTCCGCCTTTACATGCGGGTATAACATGCAGTAGCTGCTTTTTTCCAGCAACCAACCTCTCGTGAAGCTCCAGTAGCCTAGCTCCAAGATGCACATGCTGCGTCTCCAGTTAAAAGAAGCATCAGAAAGACAGTAACACACGCCTTAAACTTTCTAAAGGCAGGCTGCTCCTGCATCAGCGTTTGTGATTTTGCATCCCCAGTTTTCCACCCATTCGGTACAATTAACACCGATTCCTTCACCACACAGTTTTGAGTCAGAAGCGTGCAATTTAGTATTTAACTATGAATGAAGCAGCAAACCTCAAAATTAGGTCTGCCAGCTAAATTTTAGCTTCTTCGTGACGCAGGCCCAGCTTCTGACCACCGGACTGTTTACGCTGCCTAAGCAATGGAGAGATCCCGCATCTTCCCTGAACCGGCCTACGCCGTTCCTCTCCACGTTACAGTTCGTCATTGCACCGTCTCAGACCAGAGGTTGTCACATCCCTCTAAAAGCTCCTTCAGTTGTTTCTCCACTTGCTTTCTCTGCATACCCTGTTATGAAGAAGTGCTGGCTGTATGTTTTGGGGAGGGCTGCTCTCACGCGTGTCCAGGGAGGCTGCCAGTATGTGGGCACAAGCATAAGGACTCTCCTGGTGATTTCTACCAGCCCCAGTGGAGAACCATCTCACCCACCCTTTTCATTCGGACCACCAACACTTGTGAAACGCCATGAGCTTAGTCAGCTCAGCACTCTGGAAATTAAAGCTTAGATCATGTAGCCAGCTTCCTTTAAAAAAAAACAAACCACATGTCTATCAAAGCCCCCGTTGGGAAATTTCTCCATTCGTGCCTATCAGCTCCACCACAATATTCCCCGATGCCCAACAACTGGAGACCTCACCTACCACCACGTCTTCTCATCACCATCCTCCAGGTCTCCCTTCCAACACGTTGTGCACTTCATGACACGAGTCAAAACCCAAAGCAACCGGCAGAACCAACCTACATCTCCCAGCTTGCTGGTCTTTCAGAAGAGACGAAAGCAGAGCTGCTCACACATAACACCGTATGCTCTTCTTGCTTTCCACCACGGGAAGAAAGCAAAGGCAACGGCTGTGACCACTGCCCCTCAACACTTTGGGAATGGGAAGGGAACCCCTTCTGATGCAAAACTAAAGAGACAGCAGAAGAAACCCACCCCGACAAAAGACACAACTGTGACCTTTCACCACCAAACACCAAATTTCCAGCTTTTTAAGACGTGTGCGTTTTCCTGGAGTGCTCGAAAACCAGGCTGCAGGGCGGTTCTCAGGCACAGGTTTAATTTCTGCTCTTCGGACCCGAGGAACGCCGTCCCGGCATGTCAGAAGAAGGTTAATGAACGATTTAGCCGCCCTCACAACCACGTTAGTGTCACTTTCGGAAGCTGCGAGTTAATGCCCGAGATCTTTGGGGGTTACCCTCTTTGAAGTTCACTGATCCATAACCAATGTCCAATTAATTTGCAGGAGCCTAACTATAATGACGATTGGCCTTTTCCTATGCATACAAAAACACAGTGGGTAACGGCGATGCTTTTGGCTTCGGGATATTGTCACACATGCACGCACATTTGCACACCTTCAAAATATCCAACGCTAATAACGGGTTGTCTTCTGCCGTTTGAGGAATTTTTTACATTCGCTCTCCTGAGAGCAGAGCTACCGTGTCAAGATTTATGAACTTTCTGCTGCAAAAAATTTGGAGCTGGTTCAAGATGCTCATTTGCTAACAGAGAAATACTTCTACTGCATTTGCTCAGATTCCTCTTTATTTAGGGTTTCCATGGAAGCCAAGGAATAGAAGTTCAATCTTGGGAAGATTAAACAGGCCCTCAGATATAATGCAGAACAGCTTATTTCAACATTCCCTCAAGAACAGAAACAAGAAATTCTTCCACACATATGCAAAAATAAAGGTTTGTGGAAATTTTCAAAATAAATTGGGACCCAGCCTTTCAAATGCTTCATGCAGCTATTGCTTCTTGTTGCAAGCTGCTCTGCCGGCTTCCCGTGCTCTTACTCAGGTGAGAAAGTAAATGAACAAAAAGATCTGCAGGATAAAGATGCTACGGTTTAAAAACCAGCTTATTCAAGACAGCTATTGCTATACAACATCCGGGAAGTAAGTTAATTCAACCACAAGGTCTTGCACAAAGAGGAACAATCACCTCATAAATTAGTATCTCAGCAGATTTTTTAGAATAAAAAATGCAGAGATTACGCCATTTGGCAGCATCTCCCATCGCGATGCTCTGGACGCTACCAGAGCTGACATACCAACATTTAAAAAATAAAATAAATCACTTATCTTCCGTTACTCCAGGCTGAGAAACGACTCCTGCACTGGTGAGAACAGTAAACATTTCCGTGCCTCCCTACCCGACAGGTCAACGGAGCGTCAGTAGCCACAATGACAGGCTGTTGGACACTACAAATTAGTAATAATGCATTTTTTTCTGACCTCCATCCCCCAGGTAAAGATTTATTTCATGTTGTTCCAACCTGGTATGAAAATGTCCAAGACCGAGGAACTCTACTCCAAAATGCTTCTATTTCACAGCACATTTCTTAAACCATTTTAAAATCTGGCACAGGTATATTTAGATAATGGGTAAAGTGCATTTTTTTCTGAAGCCGGAGCTGAGAAGCGCAACGTTGCATGCAGGTTTTTGCTACCTGCTCTAGTAAGGAAACTAAACACAGCTGAACCTCAAATAAGTTATTTTCAATCTTAAAGCCATTATCACTCAAATAAAAACTTACTTAAATCGTAGACTTTTCTAATCCTTCACTTATGGTGAGTACCTGACCGCTCAGTGAAAACGCACTTCAAGAAACATTCAAGGTTTTTATTAACTCCACAGGAAAGTCCCAGGACCCTGGGATTTTGTTTTTCCGACTCCTGATTAAAACAGTGGGAGTCCACGTGAATTCCCTTCCCCCCCCCCCGCAAGAGTTTCACATGCAATGTCCCCTCCTCAAAATCTGTAAGAAAACAAGAATCAAACCAAAAACATTTTGCCAGCTGAAAGGTGCCGAGACCTTGCGCGGGGCGGGATGCGTCTCCAGCTGCCAGCCTAAAGGGACGGCCGAGGGAGATTAAACACAGAAATGCTTTTCATAAGGCAGGCGGCTTTGAAGAGGATAGTTCAGCTACTTCATTTCGTAATCTTCACAAAGCGTCAGATTTTAGCCTAAGCAGGTCTTAAAACAAGGAGATTTTATTTAAAAAAAAAAAAAAAAAAAAAAAAAAAAGAAGTAGGAATGTGTTCTGGCCGGGTTCTGTTGATTCAGCAAGGGTTAGACACACACACGCTTATTGATCCCAGAGAGCTCCCTGCTAAGTTAATTGTCTGGAATTTTAACGGAGCTCTCAGCAAGTTTCAAAATCCATGTTGGCTGGAAGTGGGTGGGGGACCCAGAAAAAAAACAGGCTGCAAAACTGTGCAACTCCTCCAGTTAAAAAAAAACAGCAATTACTTTGATGAAGGGAAAAGCTGCAGCAGGGAACGGTTTTAACTGGATTTGGTGATTCTGACTTTGACACCACTAGAATTCAGTGCTGGGAATCTCGTGTGCAAAGCAGCACCATTTTCAGGGAGCTCTGTGATCCCCGTTTGACCCACATAAACATTACAGAGGTGAGGGTATCTGCTGCAAGCTTCCTGCAGCCTCTAGTTCTGGCTCATCACAACAATTTCCTGGTGTATTTACAAGAAGTTTTACCACGAGCCGTACCCGCCTGCGTTCCTGTAACTGAACACTGACCTGCTGCCGGTGCAGGCTACGGTCAACTTGAAACTGCAGCTTGCTCGACTCCCTGCATATGCATGAGGACTCCCCATGGCTCTGCACTGCCCACCAAGCCCTACCTGCCTCCAGACCACGTCCAGCAGCAGTCTCCCCGGGTAAGGAACGTGCTGCAGGGATGATTCAGCGCAATCAGACAGGAACGGCCAAAGACACCCTTAAAATAACCTGCGACTACTTTCAAATAAAGCTTTGCATTCCACCAAAGCGCCAACGCAACACCATCCCGTACCGATGCAGACGCTCCCCCGTCCCCGAGCGCTCCCCACCACCCAAGGTCCTCCAAGGCTTTCCATCACCCTGTGCCTGCGGCGGCTCCCTGATCCATTCCCCGGAGGCACCCTGCAGAAGGGACACTGCCCCATCGCTCACCTACCTGAACTCCCTCCCCTCGCTGTAGCGCCGAGCCGAGGCGGCGCGCTGGGTGGCCGTCTCCAGAAGCAGCTTCTGTGTGAGCCTGCTGGATGGTGCCGAGTCCCTGCTGGCCTCGGGCTCGGCCTCTTGGTCACATTTCCACTCCTCGTCCTCGTTCAGAGTTGGCAGATAACCGGGTAACCCTTTACCTGTCCCAGACCCTGAGCTCGGATCGCTATAAATTTTTGGACTTTCCCCACCTGTCCTCGTGTATTCCAAATAAATATCCGACTTAAGGAACAAAGGGTAGGTATTGTCTTCTATCATGCACTGAATCTCTGTTTGGGCCTGGTCAAACATGTCGGGGTCAATCTGCAGTTTCATGACGCAGTCTTTGATGAAGCTTTTTGTGGCCGGTTTGATCTGCCGGGACACAATGCCGTTGTTGTCGAGGATGTATTTTTTGTAAATGGCTTTTGCCAGCTTGAGTCTTTTTTCCTCATTAGACGTGCACGGCTCCAGCTTCCTGAAGCCGCTGCAGGCAAACCAGAAGTCCAGCAGATCGGCGCAGTCCTCCTGTTTCAGGAAAGTCCTGAAGAGGTTGATACCGTCTTGATCATCCAGCAAGGAGTGCAGCGACTCGGCCCACTTCAGGTAGGGTGGAGTTGGTGAAGCACTCCCCTCGGGCTCGTACCCCAAATCCAAATCGGAGCGCCTCGGTGTTGCCGTGGACGTCTCATTTCTAACCACATCGCTTTTACCAGAGTAGAAACCGTGGCTAACTGGCCTTGGATCTGTGGACACGAGTTCCCCCTCCTCACCAGGAACTGGTGGCCTCGGAGCATCTTCAGTGAAGCTTCCTCCAAGGTCCAAGGGGAAGCCTTTCCCCTGGATATTCATTTTTCTGGTCCTTGCTTGCGCAGGAACAGTGGAGGATGAGCTCAAATTTCAAATCACCAATGTTTGTAGCTCCAAGGTGAACAAGTTTGTTCGGCTGAAACAGATGAGAAAAAAAAAAATAAGTGAGCAACACTGTAAATAAACACTCTAAGATTATAAACCACTAATTTTGCTCTGCACCATTACTGTATTAACACCTCTTTTTCAGCAGAATCAATGGCAAAGCTCTCAGCGACTTCAGAGAGCACAGAACTGGGCTCAAACCAGGCACCCTCTAAAAACGAGTTACAGAATATCCCAAAACTTTACATCCAGCATTCAGCATCACCGACACGGCTGGTGCTACACTAAAACAGCAGCCGATTTCACAACACTGGTGGTTTTACAGGACCCTGGTATCTGGCAGTCCCCACACCCAAGAGATCTACACTCAGGTACCATGCGGTGTCACAGGACACATGCCATCTTCTGCGCTGCCATTAACTCCTCTGCACAGCCTACCTGGACAGCACAGGCACCAGGTCATCCTAAGGCACCATGTTTTTATCTGGCTACCGATCTAGCAAATTCTCATCCCCAAACAGGAATTTAAGGCTTGTGAAAAATATTTTGAAAGAATATCCAGTTAGTCCCAAAAGCGAGACTGCACCTTAATCAAACACAGGTGGCTTTTGTACGCTCAAGTGACATACCAGCGCCACATTCCTCGCAAATCTCTGCGTTTTAGAAATACGCTGCGTCGCCTCGTCTAGCTCTAGGGGAATCCAGATGCATCGTTGACCCCAATATTTTGGACATCTGGACTGCATTCTTGCTTCAAATGGGCATGCTAGCACAGGAGCTCAGGTCTGGCACCGGTTTTCATAGACAGGCCATTGAGAAAAGGTTAATTTACGCTAACAACATTGCATGCTACGAGCCTGGGAAAATTTCAGGTCATCAAAGGATGATGAGAAAACCACCTCGAGAAGGAAATCTGATCAAGTACAATGCTTTTAAAGAAGAGTGACGAGTCAATATGGAGGATGGGAGGTGTGGGGAAGGAGGGCAAGGACTATCCCTGGGCCACGACTTCCGCTGCTCAACAAGGTAACCATGATTTAAAGACAGTAGCAAAAGTCTTGTTTTACAGAACAGCATCAGCCTCAAAGCCCCCAGCACCGCAAAGCACCAGCTGCCCGACGAATTACTCCTTGCACTGGCTTGACTCAACTGCGTGTGAAAATATACCAGGGAAGACACATTTTTGCTCGGCCTCCCTCTCAAAGCTCACCCCACTCCAACGAACACGTCTTTGGGATGCTTTGCCATTTCCCCCCCATTCCCCCTCCCCGGCTGAACCAAGAACGGCCGCCTATGCCGTGCCTCGTCCTTACAGCCCACCTGCCCATCGCGAAATAACCCCAGCGAGACCAGGAGCGGCCGGCGAGCGCGGCCAGGCCCCGTGTGCCCGACCTGCGCCATGCAGCCGCAGCAGCCAGCGCCGCCCTCGCACCCACTCCAAGCTGCCCGGAGCAGGCAGCCACTGCCCCGGCACCAGGGAACGGGGCTGTTTTTTCGCACCGTGCTGCGTTCCTCCGTCGTTTTCACTTCGACTGTGGATGCGAGCGCTGGGCTCGCGCCCATCTGCCTGGTGAAGGTCCCCAGCTACCCCTGCCTGGGTGCTGGTGACCCCCTTGGGGCAGCCC